CTTGCCTAAAAAAGACCCAGAATGGCCAAATCATAAGCTGCCTCAGGATCTACTATGGCCTGTTCAAAAAGATTAACTGGGCAAAGCTGATCCCTTCTAAAAATATAAAATGAGAAAATAAAGAGATGGGTCAGTGAGCTGCTGTAAGATGTAAGAGGGCAGAAGGCAACAAGGCCAGGGCTTCCCTTACTAGCCAACACACTCAAGCTGAAATGATGAGATTATAAAGCCATTGGGTAGAAAAGAATAAGAGTCCCAAAGACAAAGCAGAAATGCCACGAGTGTCACCACATGACCAGTTGCTGAGGGCAGAAGAGAGGAGATGCCTTTTTTCCCTATGACCCAAATCCCTGTAATAAACCTCATTTCCCCTAAAGAAACTTACGAGCTCTTTGCAGCCGAAAAGCAACTACCAAATGCATGTGTAAAGGAGATGAGATTTCATACTCTCTTGCAACACAGCAATTCAGATACTTAAGAACTTGGGTATGGAAAAAGACTCCAGATGTGGTAACTGGCCGCGTAGGTCTCCATGGTTTCTGTTTATTTCTTGCAAAAAAAAGAGGATAAACTTGGCCAACTCAGAGCACAAACATGGAAGTCAAAAGAATGTGCCTTCAGAATGATCCAGATATCATCCCTTCTTGCTCCTTCTGCCCTAATCCACGCCTGACCCCATGACTCATCCCCACTCTCCTCAAATAATGAGACTTCTTGTTGTCTCTCTTTTTATCAAAAGAAAAGAAAAACCCCATTAAATATCACACTGAATAAAACTTTTACAACAAACCATCCCATCTCAAAGTATTCATATGAAATGAAAGGTTTGGATTAGGACAGAAAGCACCTAAAGGAGTTCAGGAGAGAGTTGTCATCATACCTGGTCGAGCAACAAACACCAAACCAATGGGGTGATCACACTGTTAACCTCCACTGAGACCAAATGCCTGGACCTCCAGTTCCTAACTGTCCCAGTGATATCACAAGGACGACAAGGAGAAAGGCTTCTCAGGATGCCTGGACACAACCAAATCAAGAAGAGGCAGAAGAGAAAAGACAGCCAAAGGGAGTGAGACCTCACGGATTTGTGAGCAAGGAACACAGGGAACTTCTACTTTGGCCAGGAGCAGCTTTGGCCTCTAGGACGCTAGGTTCTTTTTCTAATGCATGAGTGAGACTGACATTTATAGCCTAGCAAGGAATTAAAAAATAAAAGAAAAATAATTTTTTCTGGTGGTTGGTCCAATCATTAAAAACTATTTAAGCCTAACTGCCACCTAGTCCAATAGCAGTCATGCATATCATTAAATGCATCCATTGTTCTGAGTCCATTTTGCTTCAATACTCGTAGAAGTATGATAAACACAAATAGAACTTATAATATTTTAAAAAATAAACTATAAATGAGAGCAAGCCTCACTCAGAACAGACAAGGGTGCAGAGTGCAGCTGTACAGCAAAAGAAGTGACAAAAGTTTCATGGAAAACAAGGCAAGTTTTCAACAGGTTTTTAAAGGGAGGAGGTAGGTGGTTCTTGTGATTTCTTAATCCTCATATCTGAAAGGCATAAACCTAATAATAAGTTCCATAAAGATAACTTTAAACAGCCCCACAAAAATCACAGGTCTCCTCAATAAGGGCAATCAAAAGGCAAATGTGACAGATCTCTAGATGAGGGTAAGAACTCCCCAGTTGGACACTGGGTGTGTCTTTTAACAATTCAAGAGAAAATCATGGATAAGGCTTCTAAACCCCGGTAAAGAAAATAGGTCTTTAAAAAGTACCCTTATGTCATGAAATTGAGGACAAGGTTGATCTAGAAAACAATTATCTCTATGGATAGGTTAAAATGCATTTGGTCACCAAATGCTATAAAATGAGAATGAGGAAAACTACCTTAACCGCATTATAAAAACTCATTACTATTCCTTTTTTCACCAAAAACTAACTTAATTTCAGAGAATATACAAATTCAGAAGGAAGGAATGTTATTAATGGTATAGTACATAGTTTTTCAAAATGCTGTGCAGATACAATGTAAAAAACACTGAACTAATCAAAAAAGACAATCATGTCTTCCTTAATGCTTCTCTCGAAAAGATGTTTTAAAGTTGTATCCCGAAATTGAGCTTCAGCTCTGGCCCAACTCCTCCCCCATACACACTTCTGGAAGTCTTCCCTATTTAAATTCATGGCAACTCTATTCTTACAAGTTTCTTAGGCCAAAAATCTTGCAACCATTTTTAATTATTTTCATTTGCTTATACAGTACAACTATCAGGAAATCCTACAGGCTGTACCTCCAAAAGACTTCACTGCCCACCCTGTTCACTACCAAAATGATTGAAACTCTAGCCCAAGACACCACCATCTTAGGTTCTTGAGTAATGTGACTGCTTCTGCAGTCTATGATCAACATGGCAGCCAGACGGACCTTTTAAAACTGCAATCTGCTCTCTTCTTCCAGTGCTCAAAACCCTCCCCCTTCCGTGGCTTCCCATCTTATTTCAAGCAAAACCCAAAGTCCTCAAATACTCTGTATGGCTATCAGCTTCCACCTTGTTTTCTTCTCCTTCCCTCCCCCTTACCTCCACCCCCAGCCAGGTAGGGCTCTTTGCCCACTAGCTACTTGCTCTTAGACTTAATCTAGGATCATTGGCTTCTACACTCCCTACCTTCTCTCTGCCATGAAAGCTCTTCCCCTAACTCTTGCCCCCAGATTTCTGTGGGGCTCATCCCCCTCACCTGCTCACACCTTTATTTTCTACTCCAGGCTCCCTCCCACCACACACAGGTGTTTGTCTGTTTTGTTCCCCATTATAGCCCCAGCACCTAGACGATGCCTGCCACATAGTAAGAGCTCAGTGATTATATGTGGGATGACAGAATGATTATGCTCATAGAACCAAGGAAGAGGTGAAACTTGAACAAGTCAAGAACTGAGATAAGTACATGAAGATGACAGCCCTCCCCCATTTGGCTTGCTGGGTAGTGGTAGCTCTCAAACCAGAGGAGAGAAGCACTGAGGCAGGAGTGAGTCCTGCTGCCAAATGAGGATCTACCCACATTCCATCTTGCCGTAAAGTCAATGTCTGCAGACCTCAATGCCCAACCGTGCCCAAAGACAGGCCTGCTATAGGCAATTCTTACTACTTCAAATCATTAATGATGTTATGGATCAAAATGACATTTCCAAGGTCTTTCAAACTTCAAAGGCCTAAACTTTTACATTATGGTTCATTTTCCAATATGTCATCCTTAAGTTATGCACATGGATCATGCCCATGTTTCTTAACACATGACAAAATGATATTTATGAAAATGCTTCTTAAATGAGGAAGAATATTCTATATGCTGCAAAGTTCAATATTTTTTTTCCTTTTATTTACCTAGTGTTAAGTAGCAGCTAGCTATGAACCAGGCACTGTTCAATGGGCTGTACGTGGATTATTCCACTTAATTGTCCCAGGGAGGTGAGGACTATGATGAAGTTCAATTTACAGGTAGAGAGTTAAATAACTCCTCCAAGGTCACACTGCCAATGGGAGTTGGGATGTGACCCCAGGAAGGTTGGTGATAGAGCCCAGTGTCACCAGTGCATAGTGCCTCTTGGTTCTTCCTTCCCAATACCAAGGACAAAAGAGTCAACAAGACCTTACATGATGAATGCCATACATTTATTCACAGAAGACATAAAAATACCTCATTCTTTGACCTGTAGAGGTAGTTAGAGTCAAGTGGTGCAATAACAAAAAATATCATTTAACATTAATATTAAAATATTAGTCAAAAGATGATACGAAGAAATCAGAACCATTTTTCTTAAAATGATGGGAAAATCAAGAGAATAGTAAGAATAGACAAAATGTAGTATTCTTTGAAAAACTGCTTTTCAAAAGTAAATATTACGTGCCTGCTTGAAAAACAAGTCTTATAAATATAGCTACTCATAAAAAGTGGTTTCCTTTGGAAACATTTAACTGTGTACAAGTCAACCCAAAAAACTAATGTTAACATATTTCTTCAAATCCTGACATTTTGAGGAGGAAACATTACAAAAGAAATGAAAACAGGCTTCTATAAATATTTGAGAGGTTCTATCCAGGAGTGGGAGGAATTCCTTTATCTGGCATCGAATGACTATGTTCTGATAAAGAGGGATAATGGAATGGAGGGAATTTTAGACTAATAGATCACTTAGAAAAATATTAATTCTCTAATATCCCAGGTTTTCAAAACACCAAAACAACAATAAAAGAAAGACTTGGTAAGGTTAGGCTAAAAATCAAACACTTTCTATAAATATTCTAAGTCATATACATAGCTCTTTATACTTTTAAAATGGCATTATTTATATATACAAGGGTTCATCTTACTGAACTGTTTGATTAAACAGTTCATCAAAGTACATATTTTTTAAAGAGACAAAATCTTGTAATATACAAACTTATACTTCTGTTCCCCCTCCTACAACTTTTCAATAGGCAGGAAGGAATGCAGTCCAATTGGGCCTCTATTCAAGAGTTTTATTTTAAGTTTTTGGAGAACTTTTTAAAATAGGCATCAACCATCAACCTTGTACCTTGGAGCAGCTTCCCAATGCTTAAAACACTGGCTGACCAACCCAGCCAAAGCTAAAGTCCTATGCATCCTCCCCCACCACTATTCCTTAGGTGGTCACTACTGACCCCGTTCTACCCTCAAATCCCTCCTCTTTCCATCCATTCCCACCCCCATGCCAATTCTAGTATCTCAATCCTTCCAGGCTAAACCGGGTAACTCCCAAAATAACTGTAAACTTATCTGATTAATTATCCCATGCTTAAGGGTAAAAGCCAATAGGCACTATCCCTAATCTCTCCTTCTGTCTTTTCTCCCAATCTTCCCATCTTCTCCAGCCAATTTAAATAACAATCCCTAGGATTAATTCAGTGGTAGGAATTTGAACCCACTCTGGGAAGGCAATATGGCAGCCAGTGAGGGAGACATGTGGGAGCTCACCGGGAGCTGTGGCCCCACAGACGGCACTCACTGTGTGGGCAGTTGCCAACCCTGCCACCTTACTACCTCTTGGTTCTGCTTCTGCACAGGTTGAGAATGACCTGTTCCTCTCTTGTTCTCTCAACCCGCTCAAGGACAGACCGCCCACAACAAGCTGCCAAACTGCAAACACAGCAGAAGGAGTCTTCAGAATTGGATATGCAGCAGCTGGCAAAGGCTTAGAACCTTGCAACCACTAATCCCTGGGGTTTGAGTCCCCAGGGTAAAAATGAGAGGTTTGGAATCAAGGACCCTGAGGTTCTACCCACTCTCACAATCCAGATCCAAGATTCGGCTCAGATCCCCAGGCCACACAAGCCTAAAAGTCACTGGAGAATTCGCTGAGCGTGTACAATTCTGACAATTTTGACTGTCCTGTGGAATCCAAGTTATGGCCGTGGTATGGGGTTGGTATGGTAGGCTCCTTACTACTGAAAGATTACTAATACATTACTGTTCACCAGAAAAAGGGATGAGAACGCTTCATGATCTCTCACAGAAAGTACTTACAATCACAGAAAATAAAATGATAAGACATCTAAAGCACAAGCAGCGAATTCCCTCTTATCTTTGGAAATGAATTCATTCAGTGAAATATAGACTGCAGATGCTATGTGAGAAAAAAGTTCTGGTCAGCTTGGGAGACCAACACAGAGTATTACAACCATTCCTTTGATTTTTCTCCCTCCCTCATATTTGAGGATTTTAAAACAAATGAAAGAAAGCATTATTTCAGCTTAAGGCATAGGCATAAGTCACATAAGAACAAAGAAGGTTTTATTGCCACATTAAGCATCAAGGAGGAAATGTGCTTACTGATAACTAATTTAGCGTTCTAGGCTATTAGGTTAGCATTTGCTTTTTGCAATCTTCTAGGCCAATATGTACAATTTATATCTAGACTGGAGGTAAAAAAAAAAAAAATGTTCAGCTAGCTAGAAGGTCATTAAGAAGGAAAAAAAAAAAAAAACCCTTGGAAAACAGAACAAAGTACACAGATAGGGCGAAAGGTACTCTTTGTGCCTCAGTGGTCTATAGAACATTTGCCCTCCCTGCCTATAAAGTGATTTAACATTAACCACATTTCATCTGGCAGCAGAGTACTATCTCCTGACAAAAACTCCTTTTTGAAAGCCTGGAAAAAAAAAAAAAATCCACATACACAAAAGAATGTGAAACATATTGCCACAGGCCAGTGTCTTGGGCTCTTTGCCTAAGAGGTTTGCTTTCAGTGAAAAGAGGAGAAAAAAAAAACACACGCTCTAACAACAACAGCTTGTACAGTGAACAGCTCCCTGCTTTTTGGCAGACTTTCCCAACTCACGGTTCCAGTGGCAGTGCCTTGAGCCCATTCAAGAATTCCACCTCGTAAGATATGTTTCAAATACAGTTCTTTGGTCTTTCAGCATTTAGCAAATGCACCTGCTAGGCAACTAGTCCGACGGCCATATAGCAGTGTCCCCAGCTCCTCCTTGTCCCTCTTCACCATTAATAATACGGGCTACTTCACACTTGGACTGGATGAGATGAAAGGCACATTAAAAAACTACAACAGACATTTTTGCTGCTGCATGAGTTTAGGTTCGGTTCGGCGTACAGATGTAATTCCCTTCTCCCGGCTGCCAACTTCCCTGTCACTTTTTTTCCTGGAGCAGGTAAGAGGGTTTTGTTTTTGTTTTCTGGCTTCCAACTGCCAGGGCTTACCTCGAGGTGGCTTCCTCCCCAGCTTTTGCATGGCTCCCCCCCACGGCCTGGTCCTTGCCGCTGGGGTGGTAGGCAGTTAGCACGACTCCCTGGGAACTGGAGAGCCAGCTCATGGTGAGAGAAGGGGCATAATTTCTGCGATCCTGACACAGAAACGGGGAAATAAGTTCCTGCCTCGCCCGGCAACTCGGCTCATTAGCATCGGCCAGCTCCGCCCCCCGAGGCCGGCGATTCACACAGGAGGGGCGGGGCCTCTCATTGAAGAGCTTCCTGGCCGTCCAATTAGAAGCTGGGACTCAGAGTATTGTTTAGACTCGGGGCAATTCCTGTCTGAGCGGCCCTAGTTCACGAGGGGAATGCTGGCTGCCCCCTTGCCCGAGTTATTCTGATCTGATTAAACTGCCAGGATGTGCGCTCAAGTCATCAATGTAACTACAAGCCATCTTGGTTAGGAAACAATGAGTTTGTTGCAGAGCCTTTTTTTCCCCCTTCCCAATTCCTGTTTCCATCTGATAATTTCTGCTACTTCATGTAACATGAGCAAGGGCATTTCTTAACCCCTTCGCGTTCAGCGTCAAAATGAACCATAGCAAAAACCAATGAACCTGCAGCAAAAGCGTGCAACACAGCCGACAAGAAGGGCTGTACCTCTTGTGTCGGGTAAAAAATGCCCTTATAAAAATTATTGTGTGCCCTGGAATGCCCTTTGCTTTCACATAAAAGCCAATACCAAATATACCTCATTTTATCAAAACCCGCGTCACTGCCAAAAACACACACATCTACCAATGTTCTGTTAAGCTTTACTGATGGGAATAAAAGAAGTACCTACCATTTGTTGAACACTTGCTATATGGCAGGCTGACAGGTGTTTTGCATGTATTACCTCATTCAACACTCTCTCTCTCACACACATACACCCCCACACAGCCTCCCCACACAAGATAGGTATCATTATCATCTACATTTTACATAGCACAAGGAAAGTAAGGGTGAGAGACAGGTTAAGGAACGTGACTAAGATAACACAGTTGCTAAATGCCAGAACTGGATTTGAACAGAATTCCAGACTAAATTCCATTCTTTTTCACCAGCAAGCTGTTCCTTGTTTTGTAGATTAAGAAACAAGCTCAAAAGTTATCAACAAACACAAGAGACAGTTGTGTTCTTTCTCCTCGAACAAATTCTACTCTCTTTTATATGCCTGGTAGTCTGAATTGAAGTTTTTTTGTTGATCTTTATGATTTATTGGTCTACCTATCTAAAATTCCTCATTGAAGTTTTTTGTTGATTTTATGATTTATTGGTCTACCTATCTAAAATTCCTCATAAGCAAACTTTCATCATTCCATAAACACAGTGTTTATACTTTCTCATTATTTATAGTCATGAAAAATAAGTAATTTATTTATACTTACTGCAAAAGTATTTAAAATTTATTTTTTAAAAATGCTTCTCTTTCATATCTACAATAAACTCTCATTTACAAATGTCTCCCTTAAAAAGAGCTTATTATGTCTTCCCTTCCCCTCTACAGTTAGTTGCTCAAGCTTTCCATTTCCACCTCCATAAGTCTCCACCTGCTGTCTCCTTCCTATCCCATGACCTCAGCCACCTCTGGGTCCTATAATGAGGTCTTAGCTCCAACCTTACAACATCTCTTTATTTATTTATTTATTTATTTTTTGAGACAGAGTCTCACTCTGTTGCCCAGGCTAGAGTGCCGTGGCATCAGCCTAGCTCACAGCAACCTCACACTCCTGGGCTCAAGCAATCCTCCTGCCTCAGCCTCCCAAGTAGCTGGGACTACAGGCATGCGCCACCATGCCCGGCTAATTTTTTCTATATATTTTTAGTTGTTCGATTAATTTCTTTCTATTTTTAGTAGAGATGGAGTCTCGCTCTTGCTCGGGCTGGTCTCAAACTCCTGAGCTCAAACAATCCGCCCGCCTCGGCCTCCCAGAGTGCTAGGATTACAGGCATGAGCCACCACGCCCGGTCACAACATCTCTTTTAGCTCATCTCCTTGACGCCTTGTCTAAATTATTTTGTACATTAGTATCACTCCCCAGCACAGCAATACTGATCTCTCTCCTTGCTTCAAGACCTTCCCTGGCTCTCCACTGCTAACAGAGCCAGTTCTAAACTTTTGCGTGGCACACTGGACATTCCAGCTACCTTACCCACACAAATCTTTCCATCTCATCTGCCAGACACCACTCCCTCAGGTCCCACCGTCATTCTTTTTTCTTCCTTCCAGATCTAACTTAATTTTTCCCCCTACTGGGGCTTCAGTGAATGTTAAATGGAGGAAGAATTGAATGAATTTAAGGTGTCCTTTAAAACTTCAGTAAATTTTTATATTAAAATTGGTAACATCAGACAAGTGGTTACTTTGCACAAACCAGCACTAACCTATAATGAAATTTCACCAGTTCAGGCAAAAGGAAAACTATATGAAGAGAGCAGCGAAAGGTGACTAAATTAGAGTATGTGAATTTTGTCTTTTTAATGTCCTTACATGGAAAAATGGTTAATACCCCCTCATTCACTCCTCTTTGTTGTTGTTATCGTTGTTGCTTTTTTGAGACAGGGTCTCACTATGCTGCCCAGGCTAGCCTTGAACTCCTGGGCTCAAGAGATCCTTCCATGTAGCTGAGACTACAGGCACTAGCTACACCACTCTTTTTTTATGTAGATGCCCTGAAATGCAAAAAAATAGGAATCACTACCCTATACAATTATGGGTGGTAGTCACTACTCTCTATCTGTTGGACATTCTTTTCTTCACTGTTTTCCTCTCCACCCCAACCCTCCCTTTTCCTTACTTCCCTGGACCTCCTTTTCATCTTCTTTCTTTATTTCTTTTCTGTATTTTTCCCCATTCCCTTGCTGTATCTTCAGTCTGTCTTTTTCATGCACACACATTAGCAGCCACGGACACTGCCAACTCGCATGAGACAATTCGTGATGAAGAGAGATTGTGTCCAGTTGTAACCAAAACAATGATTATATTTTTGCCTAATTATAGTCTCTTCATTTGTTTAATAACAGATAAATAACAACATACAGGTCAAAATGTAACTATTTTACACGTTCAAAATATTATCTGGGTTCACAATAACCATGCTTTTTAATTTCTGTGAGGCAGAAAATAAAATGTGATTTACATAGCTTAGTACATAAAATTTGAATCCTACTACTCTAATTTTCAAGTACATGGAAATCCACGGGGCTCCTCCTTTCTTCCCACAGAGCTCTGTTGTTACTGGTCTGAGGTATCGCCCATCACAGGCAGAGAGCTGGTAGGATTGTGGCCTGGTGTGCGCACAGCCTCATATACAGACTCAAGCATATTACAAATGGTTTTCAGAATTTCCCCACGTCATCAGGGAAGCACACCTAAGTACAAATATAGGCCCTGAAAAGGCTGTTTTTATTTCATACCCTAAACTCTACCAGGATTTAGCTAGAGTCTATCCCTTATACCATATTATTTTTTGCAGAGAGAAATATATTATGAAAAACAAAAACAAAACACTCTTTTACTCTCTTTCACAAGCATTTTAAACACACTGAGAACCTCATGTCCTTGAAGATGTTAATATTCCAAGCTATTGAGTGCATGCCAAACACTTTCCTTTATAAACCATCTTACAAAGTAATTAACATCAAGACAGTTTAAACATGCATTTCATTCATTCCCTTTAAATGGGGTATACTGACAATGACACAGGAAGGAAATGACAGAGGAAGGAAAAAGGAAGTATAATTTATGTACCCAAATAGATTATTGAAAATAGGGTAGAGATAGTACTGCAGCCTCTGACAATTTGACACTCATGATCAAAAATAATGAAAAAATTTTTCGTAGGTTCAGTGCTAGTAGTAGCAAAAGGTTTATTAACTGATTGTCATATTTTGATTTAGGAGCCTATGTAGTAATGTGGAATTGTATTTGAAGGATTCCAAAATTGCAATAGAATCAACATATAATTTATCAAAAGTTTTCTCAATTTCTCTTTAAAAGGAATTAACTAAGAAGAATGTGCACACTCAAATAAGCACTATAAAATGATCAAAAGCCTATATAGGGACACAAAGTTATGTGAAAAATGACCTTTCAAATGGCAAAGTTCAACCCAATTTACAATAATATAACAAGAATTTGAATAAATTAATCATCAACTATAGTTAAAGTTTTACATAGGTGATAAAGCCTAGATTTATAAAGTAGCATTGACTAATGAGGAGGGTGTGTTCTAACATCCCCTACCTGAAGTTTTATCAGGAGTTTGTATGGAATAATTCCTGTGAGCTTGCGAGCTAGCCAACTGTGTGCTAGAGTACTACGACGGAAAATTATTCAATATACAGAATCTCAACCTATTTCCTTGGAAATTACACTCATTGTTACTAATACGGCCTCTGTAGCAACAAGGAATAAGACTTTTCCCTCTCTCTGGACAGCTCTAAAAATTTCTGCATTATTCTCAAAGTTATTTTCTTAACTAATTCCTCCAGGGAGAAAATACTAGCCATGCCTGAGATAATTTGTAACTACTATTGCCAGAGGCTAATTTAGGCTTTCTGGCAAACATTTAGAAAAGATCTTTCTTACAGCTAAAGAGCTATTACCAATAAATAATTATAGCTACTAATTGAGTGCTTACTCTTTGCTCAACATGTTACACATGGTCTCTCATTTAGTCATCCCAACAACCCATAAGAGATGGAAATTATTAACAGAATTATGCCCACTTTAGAGATGAAGGATTAGCGGTCATACAGCTAGGAGTGGGCAGAACCAGGACATGTAAACCTAGGTCTATGTGACCATCAAGTGTGAGCTCTCAAACATTAAAGGTTACAACTGTCCTGGGACTGACACTATTTCATTTATGAAAAGCACTATATGAATAACTAACAAAGTAAAATAATCTACAGTCAATCTGAAGTCTTTAACCAAATGGAATATTGATATGAATGCAATGATATGATCTACCTTCAGAGAGGCATAAATGCATTACATAGTTTCTTTTCTGGCACTTTGAAACTTGTTTTCTTGTTGTTTTCAATTAGAGATGGGGGTCTATATTGCCCAGGCTGGCGTGCAGTG